AATGCCTGTTCATCGTTGCAAATGATGATGCTACAAAATATTGCAGCCTGAAATGTCAATTAACCGACGAATGCGACAAGCAAGCGGAGGATACGTGTATTACTTCTCATCTGTATACGTGTATGAGTGTATCAGTACGACGGATAAAGTTGAACTTGTTGCTTTCACGACACACGAAGACGTAGCGTGAGACATGCTGTCGCATAGGTACCAAAATTTTTGTGATGATACAATAAGCGCTTGGCGATACATCAATATGGAATGGGCAACTGTATGACTACCGTGTGCATTCTAACCTTTCTCACTATAGTGCAATGCGGTAATTTTTGGCCTGGAAACAGTATGTAAATATTTTCGAATGCTAACCCTTCTAATTATGAACATTTTAATAATTTAAATATTTTATGAAACAGTCATGAGGTCCACGTGTGCAATGAACAGGTTGGACATATGGAGGAATCGCCCCTGGACGTCATTTTAGCGGTACCACTGTTTGGTGTCAAGTCCGGCCAGAATAGGCAATCCACCTCATGCTGCTCCAGAAAAGAAAGTAGTCTCTTCCGTAGGCACTTCTCCTGGTAAATTTGCTGGTTCATGGTTCCATAAGTAACGAAAGTTTCACTTTTCAGCCCACAACTGCAGATTGCTTGACGGACAAGGAACTTTTTGGGGAATTTTGACTTCTTTTTGATTTTACATTCTTCCGCGGCACTCTTCCGGTGAACCGAGGTATAAAATTCCGGCCTAGGAATTTGATTGATTTGATTGGATAGACCGGGATTTTCGTTTCGAGCGTGCAGGATCGAATCGCGACGTGCTTGCTCCGGTGAAGCCATGATGTAAATAAATGAACTTATCCTGACAACCAATGCCTACTGTGATTCTATACACTCTTAGCTTGATTCAGTATAATTTCGAAAAATTTTATTCAAAAAGTAGAAGGGTCTGTGCCTAGGGGCACGAACGGAAGCTTGACGTAGGACCGCTAGTGGACGGATCAAATGTGTAGAGCAGTTAGTCCAAGGTACAATTTTGGTTTTATGAGGGTTCTGTAGACTATAATTTAGACTTGTAGAAAGCTATAAAACCTCGATAAAACCTGCAATGTTACTTGGGAGTCCTTTTAATTGATCGGCCATCTATTATCTTAACTCTTTGGCCCTGAAAAGAGCAAAAGTTGGTCATGATTTAACCTCCCAAACCGTACAGAGTGCTTCTCTGTCACTTCAAAGCGTAGATGATATCGATGGCCGCTTACGCTTGGCGTGTTCAGTGTAGGTGACAGCATCGCGGATCTCATTTTCCAGGAACACCTTCAGCACACCTCGTAGATCAGACCGGAGATAAGTTTGACACCACCACGGCGAACCAGACGACGGATGGTGGTTATCGTGAAGAACTTTGCGATGACGCTTGGCGCCTTCTTTACCAAGACCTTTTCCTCCTTTGCCACGACCAGTCATTGTTGCTTGTTAGGTAGAAGAGTGGACTACCTAACCTGGAATCACCTTCCTACTGCTGCTATTGATACTTCTGCTGCCTACTCACTATTCCGTCCGAAGCGGAAATGAGTTGAGGCTAGACAACAGCGCTCAGGTTGAAGCAGAATGACCAAGTGGTACTCGATTATGACGACTGGGTTTGAGAAGAACGTTTATTTCACGAAGAAACAGTGATAAAATTATCAGTTTTTATTTGTACATTGGACAATGCTTGACATTACCACTTTTTCAATAGTTTCTTGTTCCATCAGTCGGGAGCAATGCTATTGATGCGTAGAAATATTTCTGATCGATTGGTGATAACATTATTGAAATTGGTCCAGGGGCAGCTGAGTTATTAATGTCCAAAATCTTTCATAATTTTGTTACAGTTTCCATTTTCGGTTTTCACAAAGTGTACCCCCATATAGAAATCACAGACGTAGTCCTACGTGAAAAATGTGTTTGGATTTTTTCGTGTTCAACAGAAAAGTCAAGATTGAATTCATTCAGTCTATTGGTACTACTCCAAGACTAAGAAAAAAATTCGTAAATTTTCCTCATTTTCCGGCAGATTTTCAAGGTTTTCCACAGGAAAACATGAGGCAAATTCACTCATTGCTGAGTTCCTGCACTTTTTGCGATGTATGGAGTCAATCTCATTGGCCGTGTATAGAATAGATATTCTATCTCTATCAAATGCCACATCAGATCTTTTCTTCGTTGTATTATTTTATTATATTCAAGCTTAACAATGCATTAGGGTGATCCATTTATTAAGTCACGCTAAATTGAGGAAAAATTAACCCCCCTCCTCCCTTTCGTGACGTTTTTCTTATACCTAATGCATTGCTTGTTACAAAATCATAACCCCCTCCCCCTTTAGAGCGTGACATAATATGTGTATCACCCCTTAGGTCAAAAGTAACATTGACACGGTCATGTTAAGACATTCCCAGCTAATTTCAGTACACATATCGATGCAAGAAGCTATTATCTATCTTCTAATACGACAACCCCGACAAGAAACGGTTCTGTACTCAAGTAATTAGCGAAAGAGAAATTCGTTGAAGAGAATCGATCAATGTTACTTAGGACCTAATGCATTGTTCAGCTTGTATTGATCTTGACATTGATCATCTGACGTAAAGCAAGCACCAAACGGGCAAAAATATTTTCAATTCTCAAAAGTGTTGACAATCACATTGATGCAAATATTGATGAGCATATTAAGGCAAATTCAAAAAAGTTTGTTTTCACGCTTCAGTATTGCCCCTCATTTTTCCCTTCTGTTTGAATCTATCAGCAGATGAGGCCTGTTCCTTGGCATCTTCTTTTGTCAAGGTGGTTGTGATTTGACTCGGAACATTCCATCGGATACAACAATGTTAGTGAGAGGCGACCCTGTGTTGATGACCCCTCGAAAATATTGTTAAAAATATTGACACGAACAAATTGATGGAAATATTGACGAAACTTCTGTCATGTGGGGTGCACTTAACACGACTAGATTCGACGAGGTGCTCGATTTTTCAAAATTATCCAGGTTCTGATTTGAATCTGTTTCGACTTTGCTACAAAATCTTGATAGATGTAGGGCCACATAAGGGGCGGTTCATTAACTACGTAGCCGGTGTTTTGGGAGTCTTGCCCCCTTCCCTGCGTAGACAATTGTCCACACAAACTTTTTTTAAATGTGTATGGGTCGTGGATATTTGCCAACCCCCTAAACTGTCTACGTAGTTAATGAACAGCTCCTAAGTAAGATCTACGCTTTGAAAACGTATTCATAATAAACATTTGTAATAAGGATGGAAATCGAACCGACTTCGAACAAAGATCGACCGTCAATGCCCGTTAAATGTGTATACGGATTTTCAAAAGAAAAATCATTTCCCAGCCAGTAATTGATACTGATTGTTTGTTTACCACGAAACATCCGACTCGATCGTCATCATCCAAGCATTCCACTTTGTGTAACTGATACCACTCCGACAAGCCGACATCGATCTATAAATATTTCCCGACAGAAAACATATTTCCGAATATGTGCGACGAAGATCAACAAACTGCATAAATCTACACACTTATTTTTTTTTCGCCGAGATTCCAACAGCCGAGTGATTCTGCAATTTATTTTGCTGAGATTCAGTAAAACAATTGCCGAGACTCAGCTAACAAATAAAATTTTGCTGAGATATCAGCTAACAAACAGATAATGTGCAGAGATATCGGCAAAGGCAAATGCCGAGGTAATCGGCTGTTGGAGATTTTACCGAGCTAGATTAAGTGTGTACACGTTCGCGCCGTGTCGTGGAGAAGGATGGGGACTGACCAGCTGCATGTAATATGTCAAACGATCGTTTTTCACTCTTCGACTCTTCCACGCCCCCCTCGCTGTGTGAGCTGACCTTTTTTACGGATCAACTCTGCAAAATGCAACTGCTGACGGCAACCTTGAACGTATGGCCTGACGTCGTCTTCGGATCTTCAGAAATGCAAAATTTGCCGTTGCCGTTGACGGCCTTGAATTTTGATCAACCCACTTAGGGAGGCACTTAGCACCATCATCGTCTCCGCGCTTAAGTGGATTCATCTTATACCGGCCTCCTAAAATATCTATGAAATATTAGAACTATGAAACATTAGCCGGAACATTGAGGCCGGTAGGCGCCAGAATCTTTGAGAACGCTGCCAGAGAGCTAGATTAGTGCTTGCCTCGTTTCTGCAGCAGCGAATCTAATTGATTTTAGTGCTGCGGCCTACCACCTACCGTGCCCGTGATATACTTGCCCTAGTAGTCTACTGTGGCATGACGACATAATTTTAGCACTAACCATAATGATGGTTGACAGCTACCGCTGTGCCAACTACACACGTAATGCCTATTCCCGTACGCTATTCTAGGAAAAAGATCAACCGATCCCAGCCGATGGGGACATTCCTCCGGTCGAAATTTATTCCGCGAACTTAAACTCGTCGCCACTTGACAGAAATCAACTGTGATCGAACCTCGGTTACTCGTTGAAAATTATGACCGACATTGTTGTGACATGAGCCAACATTTCCTAAGTAGCAGTTATTTACCTATGAGATTTATTACCGTCACGTTCCGAACCGGAGCGCTCACAACCTAACCTAGAAACAGATAGCAAAAAATATGGCGCACACGCAAAAATCGGGATCGGAAACTCATGTCAAACCGGTCATACCCCGCTGACTGAACAGCGCCCTCTTCTCCAAACATACAAACAAAACTACCTACAGCGATCTAGCCAAGCCAAGAGGATCGAGGATGAGCGAGACGAGCAGCAGAGAAAAACGATTTTCTAGTGTAAATTTTGCACGATCTCTCAGGAGTTTGTTTACTTTCTCCCCACCCTCTCCAATTTTCGTGAATGCGTACCACTAAACGATCAATGGTGGAAGAAGAGTGTTCACGAGTAGTGCTTTTGGTTATGGTTTTCGCTTTCACTCCATGGCACTGGGTAGAAAACGAAAGTCTTGATCGGATTTTAGAAATCTAGACCAGGATGGACGCCGTTCGTTTTTCGATCATTGTGAGTTGACCGAAGTTTGGCTTCGATTCGTTGTGTATAGATTAGGAATTCAATGTCATTTTTCCGATTTATCAGGAAAATGAAATGAAATGGGAAGATGAATACCAGATGTACTACCAGGACGGAGAAGGTGACGGGGAAATGGGACCGCAGGATAGTCGCTACCGGATGAGCATATCGAGCGAAAGCGATGTGGCAGGCGTGGAGATCTCGTCACCGAATCAACCGCACGATATGTGCAGTACCAGTCGGGAAGGTCAGGCCGAAATCTGGACCATTTCCGAGGTGGAAAGTTCACTGAGGGACCTCCCGGATGCGGAGCGAATCGGCGAACTGCTGGAGAGTCTGCTTCCGGTGGATGCCGTACTAGTAGACTACAGTTACGAACTGGACAGCACGCTTCTGCTAGCAGTTTGGGCTAGTAAACATATCCTTTTGAAACAATTGCTGGCGATGGAAGGAGTTAACGTAAACGCAAGTGATTTCTGGGGACGAACGGCTTTGCACTTGGCATGCTATATCGGCGACTACCGAGCGGTTGAACTGCTACTTCAGTATGGTGCGAAACCCCAGGCTTGGGACAAAGAGAAGAAGGCAACGCCGCTGCACTGCGCAGCAAGGTAAGCTCTCGTATCAATTCAAGCACTTCGATAACTCCCCTTTCCCGTTTCAGCTGCGGTAGTATCGAAAGTATCGCCCTTCTCATGACCAAGGGCATCGACATCAATGCCGGCATCGAGAAACATTCCGCGCTGCACTATGCCGTCCAGCGAAACAGTAAACAGTGCGTCGAATTCCTGTTGAAGAACGGTGCCGATCCAAACACCCCTCAGGTCTACACGCAAACTCCACTGCACGTAGCTGCTGCCAACGCTTACGTCGAATGCATGGAACTCCTACTGAAGTACGGAGCTGATGCACGCTCACAGTACGGCCAGAAGAAAATCACTTCCCTACACCTGGCAGCCTCGGAAAACTACTTAGACTGTGTCAAACTGCTCATCCAATCTGGAGCGGACATCGATGCCCGTAACCGGGATCAGCAAACCCCGCTACATTTGGCATGTCTATCGCAGTGCCTCGAAACCGTAATCTACCTGATCAGTCAGAAAGCAGATGTCCACGCTGTTTACCGCGACGGTCGAACAGCTCTGCACGCCTCGATCGTTAAGGAGTCTCGTTTCTGGGATTGCACACTGAGCCTTCTGAAAGCCAAGGTTGACGTCAACCGGGCGGACAACTTCGGCTACACACCGTTGCACATCGCTGCCCTGAATGAATTCAGCACCTGCGCATTCATGCTCATCGAGTACGGAGCGGACATAACTGCGCGAACCAATGGCGGAGTTTCCGCACTGTCCTTCATCATCCGACGCACTCCAGAGATCATCCCCAAATACATCGACAAGCTGGATATGGCTATCAGCGTGAACAGCATCCACGAGATCGGCGACGTGGACTGCGAGATTCGCCTGGACTTTCGACCTCTCGTTCCGAACACCGATCGGGGCGAGACGGAACTATTGCTGGCGTTTATCGAAGTTGGACAACGACGAATTCTGAAGCATCCGCTTTGCGAGACGTTCCTGCTTCTGAAGTGGAGACGAATACGGAAGTTCTTCCTGTTTAGCTTATTCTACCACGGATTGTTCGTGCTGCTGTTTACCGCTTACGTGCTCGGAGTCTACGTTAAGGACTGTCGCCTACGGAGTTGTCGTACGGCAGCGTACGTCCCAGTTATCGCATACATTGTTATCTTCATGAACATTATACTGATGACGAAAGAGATCTTCCAGATGATGCACGGGTTCATCGGATACATTCGGTACTGGGAGAACTGGTTGCAGTGGAGTATCGTTATTGGGATCTTTCTGTGTACGGTAAGTGGGAGGATTTTTGAAGTTCTACAATATCTAAGCGTAATATTCTTCTTCCAGCAAAATCCAAGCAGAGAAATTAGTGACGTTCCAACCTGGCAGCACCACGTGGCGGCGGTCGTTATCTTTCTGGCATGGTTGGAGCTTATGATGCTCGTCGGACGCTTCCCGATCTTTGGGCTGTACGTGCAGATGTTCACAACCGTAGCGGTCAACTTCTCCAAGTTCCTGATGGCCTACTGTTGCCTTCTTTTCGCGTTTGGGTTAAGTTTCTGCGTCCTTTTCCCGAACTATATCTCGTTCAAGAGGATCCTTCGGGGACTACTGAAAACAATCGTTATGATGGCCGGCGAACTAGAATTCGAGGACATTTTCTACGGTGATAACATTAATATTCTGTACCCGGGAACGGCTCACGGGATGTTCCTGGCGTTTGTCCTTCTGGTGACGGTGATCCTGACCAACCTGCTGGTTGGTTTGGCTGTCAGCGATATCCAGGGGCTGCAGCAATCGGCTGGGCTGGATCGATTGTCCCGGCAAGCTGAACTGATCTCTCGATTGGAGGGATTGATGTTCTCTAGGATGTTGAGGAAGGCACCGATTCGGTTGTGGGCGATCTTCCAGAAAATTGCTCTGCTAAAAACCTCCCGACTGAGGTTGCATTTTCGCGTGAAGCCAAATGATCCCCGGGAGAAGAGGGTAAGAATTTGAAGGGATGAAATATCTCGATACTGATAGTCTAAAACCAAAATTTCCCAAAATCTATACCGCAGATCCCCAAGGAGCTGATCACCTCCATCTACAAATTGGTGGCGGAACGCCGCGAACGCAATCAATCGATGAAACGCAAACGAACCTACCGGAACATGCAAGCATTCCAGGAGCTGATGGACGAAGACGCTCAGGTCACCCTCCGAAGGCAACGCTTCCGCAACTGCAAGATCCGAACCGTATCCGAGAATCCCTACCTAACGACGGCAGCGAATCGAACTAGCGATTTCGGTGGACCACGATCCGGAACCTCCGGTTGTCAGATGAAAACCATCGAAGACGGACAGAAACAGATACTCAAAAAGCTGGATGACCTATCCAAGGAAATTGAATTTTTGAAGACGCGAATCAAAAACCCCTAAGCAATAATAAAGTCTAGATATTTCTAATCAAATCTTTGTTTGTACTTACCAGCAACTCGCACTGCACTCGGTCACCATTGCTCAGCCGAACCGTACTTTTTTCCGCTCCATCCCGAATCAAACTGCACTCCTCCATCCTTGAGCTGTACCTTATTTCCACATTCTTCACTCCTTCCAGCTGCCGATAGACACTACTAAGCAGCACATCGTTTTCCACAATCCACGAAATGTTGTCCGCCATATCGTCGTAATTGAATGTAATCAGCGCATCCGAACAGGCATCCCACACTTGCATCTTCAGCACCGGCTTAACACGGGTGGCTTCTATATGATCCCATGCACCAATAGCCTTCATCAATCGGTGCGTTCCCTTGCTGATGGCCGACACCCGGTTGCTGTACGTTTCGGTCAAAGGCTGCTTGAAACCGGCTGCCGCTTCCAGCAGCAGAATGCGACGGTCTGCCAGGCGGGGATTCTTTCCGAGGGAACAGGCCAACGTCGTTCCCACCATTCCGCCACCGGCGATGATTATGTCGTAAAATTCAGCCGGTTTTTCGGTGCTGCTGGATGTATGCGATGCGGTGGTCGTACTGGCCAGACGCCACTGTAGAACCGTGCATCGTACCCGGGGGAACACTTTACGCGGAATGCCACTTAAGACTTGGTTCATTTTGACCACGAATTATAAATACCGACGAGAAGAAGCGAACAAAATTGTTTTTCTCTTTTTCACTATCCTGTCACGGAGCAATTTTATACTCTATCTAGTTTCCAAATTTATATTTCTCTAACGTATTTTTCCATGACTTGATAAAAGTTCTATCAATTACAACTACGGAAAATTATTGAAAATCGCAACCTACCGAAATATATAAAACTGTAACGATTGTTTGCAAACGTTGCGTAAACAAAGCTATCATTTTTGACGGAAGAATGTCATGATGATGCTGATCAATGACATTTACATAAACGTCATTGGATGCTGATGATGATTTTCGTTGCTTGATTGAAATTATCAAGGTTGGTATTCAGTGTCACGTATAAAATCGTACACAGTAAGAAGAAAGAACCCAAAAGTAAGTTATTTTTCGTCTCGGAACTATACACAGCAAAAAAAAAAAATTAATATCGATCATTGTAATTCAAGCTGATGTACATATGAAATAATGATGTAATAGCAAAAAGTAGATACAATATTACATCAATGGATGTAATTTTGTTCGCAAAATCGATGTACATTGTACAACTTTATATTACACAACCGATGGATTGACCTGGTTGCAGCAGTTTGGATGTAATATTCAACAACTTTTTTTTCTGTGTAGTGCACACCCGCATAAGCGCGAACCATAAATTGACCTTACCTAAAATGGTTATAAATTGTTTATAATCCCTGCTAAACTTCAACTGAAATGGTTATGGAACTTTACATGAACGTTTAATGATAAAGTTTTAACCTTAAGTATTATAGTTTTTTGGAAGTGGACCTTACAAATAATGGGTTGTTAAGAACCATTACCATTCAAAATTCATGTTTTCTCCATACATTTTCGGAAAGAAAACTATACAAAAACATTTTAACTTATGGTTTGAGAACATTAATGGTAATGGTTATCGTAACCAGTAAGGTCCATGAATGGTTTTGTAACATCGATCAACTTTATGTGGAATATATCGCGAATTGGTTGCCTGTAAATTACTGATTAGGGCCTGTTCATAAACTACGTAGACAGTTTTTTGGGATTCTTGACCCCTCCCCTCCCCCTGCGTAGACAATTGCCCATACAAATGTTTTAAAATTTGTATGGGCCGTGGGTAATTGTCAACCCCCCCCCCCCCTAAACTGTCTACGTAGTTTATGAACAGCCCCTTACCAATTCACGATATATTTCACATAAAGTTGAGCGATAATACAAAACCATTAATGGACCTTACTGACTACCATAACCTTAGCCCAGTCGGTAAAGGCACAGCTACAAAGCAAGACCATGCTGGAGGTGGCTGGGTTAGATTCCCGGTCCGGTCTAGGAATTTTTCGGGTTGGAAAATTTCTCGACTTCCTTGGGCATAGAGTATGATTGTACTTGCCACACAATTATACTAATGCAAAAATGGTACAGGCATCGAAAACTCTCAATTAATAACTGTGGAAGTGCATCTAGAACACTAAGTTGAGAGCACGCAATAAGCTAATATGCCATACGCAATAAGCTTGAAATGCGAGGAAGAAGAAGAAGAAGACTACCATAACCATAACTATTAATGTTCTCAAACCATAAGTAAAAACGTTCTAATATAGTTCTCTTTCCGAAAATGTATGGAGAAAACAAGAATTTGGAATGGTAATGGTTCTTAACAACCCATTATTTGTAAGGTCCGCTTCCAAAAAAACCATAATACATAAGGTTAAAACTTTATCACACAAACGTTCATGTAAAGTTCCATAACCATTTCAGTTGAAGTTTAGCAGGGATTATAAACAATTTATAACCATTATCGGTAAAGTCATGTGATGGTTCGCGTTTATGCGGGCACTCAATTCTAATCTAAATAGTATTAACATAGAGGTAACTCTATAGAGATGACTCTATTGAGATTTATAAGACTCTTATAAGACCAGTAGGTCCCAAAGATGTACTCCGATCAGCGTTGCCAGATATACCGATTTATCGGTATTTATACCGATTTCCGAACTAAATACCGATACACAGATAAGGTTCCTCAGAATACCGATTTTTGAGGTTTTATACCGATTTATACCGAATTGTTTAAATAATCAAACTGATTATTGCCTGCCCGCACTCGAATTTTGGAGAAAATTATTGTGAGAGACTTGTATCTTTTTGAATACCTCATATTGTTTGAGCCAAGGTTTGAGCCTTGAAAATAAAAAAATAAATCATTTTTAAAAATGTCTCTTTCGATTAATATTTCAATTTCCTCACAGTTTTTGGCTACCCATGAATCGATAAACAGTCAATGGCTCTTTCAGGTAATGCCGGGGGAATCGGGAAATACTTTTTAAACATTACTTCCTGAATTTTCTTCCAACTTTCCCCTGGAATTTTCTTCCACCTTACATCGTAAATTATTTTTCGATTCCTCTCGGAAACTTATTTCGACTTCCCTTGGATGCTTCGACGAAAAGTGCGAGTGCTGCTTGAAAGGTAAGACACCACGTAACCCTTTTCCGAGTGAGTCTCATTCTAGATCAAAAGCACCAATGGACCTGGTGCACACGGACGTTTGCGGTCCGGCGGAGGTGTCGTCGAATAGCGGTTATCGCTATTTTATGACCATGATCGATGACAACAGTCGCTATTGTGTGCTCTACCTGCTAAAGGAGAAGTCGGAGGTCGCCGCAAGGATCGAGGAGTATGTTGCGTTCGCCAAAACACATTTCGGCCGGAAGCCAAAAGTCATCCGCTCTGATCAGGGCGGGGAGTACAGCGGAAAGCAGCTGCGTTCCTTCTACAAGCGTGAAGGGATCACAGCCCAATACACCGCTGGCTACAGCCCGCAGCAAAATGGGATCGCGGAACGGAAGAACCGTTCCCTCATCGAAATGGTACGCTGCATGCTGTTCGATGCACAGCTGGAAGAGCGGTATTGGGCAGAGGCGCTAAACACGGCCGTATACCTCCAGAACGTTTTGCCAACATAACCCCTCGACGTCGGCGTGAAACCCAAGGTCGATCACCTCAAAATATTCGGCTGCGCTGCGTGGGTTCACATTCCGAAAGTGAAGAGGAAGAAGCTGGACGCCACCGCACAAAAGCTGACTTTCGTGGGCTATTCGTCGGAGCATAAAGCTTATCGCTTTCTCGACAAGGCAACGCGAAAGGTTTACGTGAGCCGGGACGTCAAGTTCATCGAGAACGGTGCGGACACCATTCCAACGGAAGAATCGACTACCACCAACGTGGAATTCGATCTCTTTCTACAACGAAGTCCGGCCGTACCGGAAATTCAGCAGGAAGCGGAGGAAGATTACGATTCGGCGGTCGAAGATGAGATCGAATCCGACGAAGAGTTCCTCGGTTTCAGCGATGAAGATCCCCTACTCGGGGAAGAAGCCAGCACGGAAGCGAACGCACCACGGCGATCGGCACGCTCGACGAGAGGCATCCCGCCTCAGCGTTTCGATGATGTCACCAGCGTAACGAAGCATGCAAACGAAGAACCCCAAAGCTACTCCGAAGCGATCGAAAGCACCGAAGCGGCCGCGTGGCAAGCCGCGATGCAGGAGGAGATCGAAGCTTTTCAAGAAAACGGCACTTGGGAGCTCGTCCCACTACCCCCGGGTCGCAAGGCGGTAGGCTGCAAATGGACGTTCAAGAAGAAGGAGGATGAACACGGACGAGTGGTGCGACACAAGGCGAGATTAGTCGCGCAAGGCTTCGCACAGAAATTCGGCCAGGACTACGACGAGGTTTTTGCCCCCGTCGTACGTCAGACTACCCTACGAACGGTCCTCGTACTCGCCAGCAAGCAGAAGATGTTGGTGAAGCACCTCGACATCAAGAATGCCTACCTGTAAGCGGAGCTCCAAGAGGACGCGTACATGAAGCAACCCCCCGGCTTCAATCGTAACGACGGCATGGTGCGCAGCATTTACGGGCTCAAGCAGTCCGCTCGAGCATGGAACAGGAAAATCGACGGAGTTTTCAAGTCCATGGGTTTCCACCAGGCGGACGCCGACGCGTGCCTGTACATCCTGAATCGCGACGGGAAGCAGACATACATACTCATATACGTCGACGATATGGTCGTCGTCTGCAACTCGGAGGAGGAGTTCGAGCAGATTCGCCGACAGCTGCAGCAGCAATTCAAGCTTTCCTGCCTAGGCGAACTCAAATACTTCCTGGGGATTCATGTGGAGAAGAATGGGGAGGCATACACTCTCGATCAAGCAAGCTACATCGACAAGCTGATTCGACGATTCGGTCACGATCAAGCCAAGCCATCGAAGGTGCCGATTGACCCCGGATACCTCAAGCAAAAGGAGGAGTGTGAATTGCCCACAAACACGTCGTATCGCAGTTTGGTGAGCAGTTTGCTCTACGTCGCGGTCAACACTCGGCCAGACATCTGCGTGGCCGTTTCACTGCTGGGAAGGAAGGTCACCAATCCCACCAACCGCGATTGGACCGAAGCCAAGAGAGTCCTCCGATACCTCAAGGCTACGAACGACCATCGTCTGCACTTGGGTTCCGGATCCGACGTAGTGGAATGCTACGTGGACGCCGACTGGGCCGGTGACGAAGGCGACAGATAGTCTTATTCCGGTTTCCTGCTGAAGTTCGACGGCGGTCTTGTCGACTGGGGCACAAGAAAGCAATCGTGTGTCGCCTTGTCCTCGACGGATGCCGAATTCGTCGCACTGGCGGACGGATGTCAGCAGCTCATGTGGTTCCGGAAACTTCTCAAGGACTTGCAGCAGGCTCAAGTAACTTCCATCGTCGTCTGAGAGGACAACCAGTCTTGCATGAAGATCGTGGAATCAGAACGTCTGGAGAGGCGTTCCAAGCACATCAAAACGAAGTACGCCTTCACCAAGGACCTGCATCAACAAGGTATCATCGAGCTTCGCTACATGCCAACCGAGCGCATGGAGGCCGACCTAATGACGAAGCCCCTACAGCGAGTCAAGCTGGAGAGGCACAGAACTGCCATCGGCGTCAAGGATCCAACCGAGACGTCGAACTAGCATCGTTGAGGAGGAGTGTCGGTTTGCACAACCGTGTAACACCGATGCCGATTCCAGCAGTACATTTTCACCCAGTGCATAATCCAAACATCTATGTATCAATCACACAACACCCATACACGCACACTCACACACTTCGCTTTGCTAGTCGTCACTCAGAGGAGAAACACGCTCCTTAGTTTTACCAACAATCAATATGAAACTAACGATTTTAAATTGGCTCACCACTTCAGTAGCCTATTGGTCCCAAGCAAACGATTAACGTACCCTATTCTAGTCTAAATTCTAGTACTACGCAATGTTTGTTTTGATTCGATATGAAAGTTTGACAGATAAAATGAGGGGTTATTGGTTTTTTCTATGTTTCGAGGGGTGAATCGATTAGCTTGGGACCGAAGAGAGTACCAGAGCTGAGCCAAAAAGTTGAGCACGTTATTTCGGGACCTTCTAGTCTTAGAGTTACCTCTATGGTTTTACTCCGTAAAACATACCCCACCGACAGTTATAACTGCTCAGTCTGACCAGCGCTTTACACGAACATTAGCACATTGTGCGAACATTTTATGGAAGGTTCCGTGCTTATTAACGGCAGTGTCGATAACTTTTAAAAATTAGAAAAATCGGGAAGATCAGAGAACTGCAATGCTGATGTTACAATAAATTCAAGAAAATTGTGAGAGCGCTTAAGAAATTTCGCAATCTTCAAGAAAGTCTAGAGATCTTCACAAGTGGTTGGAGATATTCCGGTAGTCTTATTATAATCAGGGAATCCGAGTGCTTCGATGATGACCAGAGAACTCCAAAACAGCCCTTAATTTCAGGAAAATTACAAGAAATTTTAAGGAATTTCGAGGAATTATCGAATATTTCTAAGTGTATTTCAGGCTTCCGACTTTCTTCAGATGTTTCTTCCAGTCTACCTTAGGAAGTTTCTGTCAGCGTCTCCATGAAGTTTCTTTCGTCTTCTCCAGGAAGTTCAATTAATTCAGGCATAACATTTGATAACGGCACAAAAGCATTTGTAAACATACTTTCTAAGGACCTTTACACGCGAACCAAAGTACGCCCACGCAAACCAACAACATCATCGGATAGGGGCAACTATCATCTTTCCGAAAGTGGTATTGGTTTGCGTGGGCGTACTTTGGTTCGCGTGTAAGACCTAAGAAAGTTTGTTTACAAATGCTTTTTGGCCGTTATCAAATGTTATGCCTGAATTCTCACAGAAATTTAATTCGTCTTCTTCTGGAAGTTTGTTCGACTTCTATTGGAAGGTTTTTCCGAGCTTCTTCTGGCTTTCCCTGGAAATGACTACTTCTGGAAATTTACTTCCGATATCCTAAACTTTTTTTGACTTCCTTTAAATGTGACATCCGATTTTTTCCAGTTTTCTTTCGGAATTTTCCGATCATAGTTCAAAAAATTTGCTTTGATTAACGGTTTTCTCAGTCTTAAAACACTGCAACGACTACGATGTAATCTGCCGGACATTTCAGCCATGGGTTTTTGCTTTTTTCAAGGGAAAATATTGTTTGTCGTTGTTGTGGCTAATTTTCCATATTTTGGTTTCATTTAATGATATTTAATTGAAAAAAAACAAAAACACTGCTTGGTCACAATTTTGATCACCGGACAACGATAATTTTAAAAATTAAATTAAAAAATTAAAGAGTGTTTTAAGACTGAGAAAGCCATCAAACAAAGCAATTCCCCTCAAATCCCAGTCGTCACCATCGTTAAATTTTTCGCTTTCAAAAACGGCAAAAATATAAAATTAAATAAATAGTAAATACCGATAAAATTTAATACTGATTTTTTAATACCTTTGATACCGATAAGCTTTAAAACAATCTGGCAACGCTCTCCGATACTCCGCTTCAAAATAAAAATGTTTATTTGGCAGCACTGACGTCTTTAGAAAATTGTCAACATATTTAAAAAAAAATCCTTCTTTCTAGACCAACAATTGAAATAGGCGGAACAACCGAACGTAAACAATGGCTCTAAACGCAATTTCTCGAAAATCAAGGTACATCCACGCAATCTAACACCAGCATCTGAAAGAGCAAACTTCCTTTATCGAATGACATTGTTAGTTTGCGTGGGTGTATTATGATTCACGAGAAATTTGCGTTTAAAGCCATTGTTTACGTTTGCTTGTTCCGCCTATTTCAATTATTGGTCTAGTTTTGTTTACAACCACCGGCGGAGCACAGTGAAAAAAGTCAAGACATATTATTCATTCGTGTTATCAATTCAGCGGTTCACATTCAGGTGTTTGGTAATGAAAAAATAAAGTGAGTGGAATACCCAGCCGCATCAAAGTTATATTGTACAATTTGCCTGCAATCATACTACTTTAGCCGCGGATTTGCTCCAAGATAACTAACACACCAACATTCTGTTTTCTGCTCCATATCAACATTCATATTTCAATCCAGTTTTTTCTGTTCACGGCTGGTTCCTCCTTTCACTTTCGATATCAATCCCAAACACAAGCAAACAGTGTCTATTTTCGGCTGTTGACGTGTACACCCGCTCGCATACGTCCGCAAACGCATCGAATTCAGCTGACCACGAAGAAGATACATTGCAGTAAGTTATTTATACGTTTTTAAAAAAGTCGCAAGCATTAACTCATTAGCATCTATCAGTACAAGGTTCATTTCGTTCAATACACAGATAATTGATTTGAGGTGCTTTCAATCTAATCAACGCGGAGTGACCTCTTCCTACTACAGAGAGTGCGTGTGCAAAGGAGACAATCATGATGAGACTACTGCAAACGAGAACAATGCCGGTGGGAAGTCCCCTGCTGAAAAGAATGCTCACCGCGGCCAGTAATCCTCCTCTACCGGCTTTGCCACTGCCAAAACTGGCCGACACCATGAACAAGCTACTCACGACAATCGAGCCCCATGTAACGAAAGATGGCTATCAGCGCAGTAAATCGGCTATCGAAAAGTTTTTGGCCCCCGGAGGAGACGGTGCCAAGCTGCAAAAATTGCTGGAAGAGCGGGCTTCTGGCAAGAAGAACTGGCTCTCGGACTGGTGGCTGCAGTCGGCTTATTTGCAGTATCGTGATCCGGTTATTATTTACTCCAGCCCTGGTTTGGTGTTCCCCAAGCTGAAGTACGCCAAGGTGGACGATCAGCTAAAGTATGCGGCCAAGATCACGTTTGGAGCTTTGCTATACAAGAGGATGATCGATCGGGGACAGATTGCCGCCGAAAAGATGGGAAAAGCCCCGCTAGATATGTCTCAGTATAACAAGATCTTTGGAACATGTCGAGTTCCTGGAATGCCGGAGGATTCGGTGCAGTACAATCCGGACTCGACGCACATCGTAGTTGCATCGAATAATCAGTATTTCAAGCTAGAGGTAGGAAATTCCGATAACATCTTCGGGGAAGATACGTTGCACAAGATGTTGAGACAATGTTACGAAATGTCGCAACAGAAAGCTGAACCTGTTGGTATGCTGACGGCGCTTCCTAGAGATAGTTGGCATGAGGCCTACGAGGTGCTGATCGCCGATCCAACCAACAAGGAAACAATCAACACAATTCAAAGTTCACTGTTTGTGCTGTCGTTAGATTACGGAATTGCAAATCCCTCTGGAGATGATAAGATTGATGCCTGCCACTTGTTGATCCACGGAGGTGGTTCAAGCGCAAATTCTGGTAACCGATGGTACGATAAGACCTTGCAGCTTGTGGTCGGACCAAATGGTGTTAATGGACTGACCTACGAACATTCCCCCGCGGAAGGCCAACCCATCGCAGTGCTGACAGATTTCATCATCAATCACATCGCTAAGGGAGATCAAAATGGTTCCATCCGGGAAGCTTCTGCTCCGCAGAAACTGAGCTTCAACCTGTCGCCGAAGGCGAACGAACTTCTGCAGAAAGCTGCCGCCAGCCACGATAAGCTGATTGCCGATCTGGATATGAATTACCTGCACTACACCGGGTACGGTAAGAACTTCATCAAGGCCCAAAAGATGAGCCCGGACAGTTTCATCCAGATGGCAATCCAGTATGCCTTCTACAAGCTGCATCGCGTACCCGGGGCCCACTACGAGTCGGCTCAAACGCGGATGTATGAAGCCGGCCGGACGGAAACCATCCGGTCCTGTTCCAACGAATCGGTCGCATTCGCACAGAGCATGCTGGAACCGTTCCGGAGCAACCGAGAGAAGGCCGCCAAACTGAAACTAGCAGTCGACGCACACAAGCAGTACGCTTCAAAGGCGGTTCAAGGTTTCGGTGTTGATCGGCATCTGCTCGGACTGAAGCTGATCGCCAAGCAGAACAACATCCCCTTGCCAGATCTTTTCCAGGATGAAGGCCTTCTGGCCAGCCAACATATGCGACTGTCCACCAGCCAGGTAGCTTCGCGGTACGATGCATTCATGTGCTACGGTCCGCTGACCGGCGATGGCTACGGATGCTGCTACAATCCCAAGAATGATGACATGTGGTTCGGCATCTCTTCGTGGACGTCCGATCCGGCGACGAACACGGTGGCCTTCCGGAACTCTCTGCAGCAGGCACTGGACGAGATGTTCGAGGTTCTGAGCGCGACCAGTGCACCGAGCAGTAAGCTGTAGGTAGGATGTAAGGGGACTTGATGGAAAGAGATTATGTGCATGTTGATAGGTATTTACTTTTTATTAGAAAAAAAAAACGGTGTTGGAATATTTAATGACTCGCAATGGTTTTTTTTTAGAGAACATTCTTGAATCTTTTGCCCTTTTGCTCTGGAAGAGAATCCGTCATCTCAGGGTTTAGGAAAGCCACAATGTGGTAAAACACAAACTTTGTGGTCCCAAAGCAGTATTTAGGAGGAATAAATTGTTGATGCCTAATCCATTATAGACCTTAACCAATATTTTGATGTCAGGGAACTGCAACCAAGTCCATGGTAGTTCCGAAAAAGTTCTAGAAGAAGTCCATATTTAGGGAAGGACAATAATGGAACTACTATGGAAAGTTTAACTTTTAGAAGAAACCCATAGGAAGTCCTTCGGTATACTCCCCTTTATTCTGCGCCGCGAGTGAGGTGAGGTGACTCGCTGTTACTAGTGAGGTGACAAAAGTCACCGCGAGTGAGGTGACTCTCCGTACAAATCAAATTGAGAGTCACCTCACTCGCGGTGACTTGTGTCACCTCACCAGTGGCAGCGAGTCACCTCACCTCACTCGCGGCGCAGAATAAGGGGGACTATGGAAAGTCCACAGATCTTCTAGGGCAGTGATGGTCAAAGTGCGACCCGCGGCCCGCAGGTGGTGCTTGGATCTCTATGATGCAACAATGTCAGCTTGAATCTCTTTGTGCATTACGAATGTATGACCGAAATGATTAAGAAATAGGCAAAATTCAACTTAAAATATGATCATTGAACAAACAGACAGCTATTGAAAAATGGGCATGAGCACCACTGTTCTATAGGAAATCAAGGCATAGGATTTCTAAATAAATTCCATTGTACTTCTAGGGAAAACCCATAGGGCTTTGAAACTCTAGGTCATCCATCTGAAACTCTAAGGGTCAGAAGGATTTCTTACTCTAAAAAATCTTCAAATTGATGCTACACGGCGAATGAGAACGACCCAAATTTGAGTTTAGTCAACTCATAAATCACATAGTGCAGGAACTCAGCGATGAGAAAATTTGCCTCATGTTTTCGCAGGTTTTTTCTATGATTTTGCGGGGAAAAATTCCCGAATTCGAGAAAAGTAAAGATTGGATTCACTCAGTCTATTGATACTACTCCGGGACTGAATAAAATTTTCGTCAATTTCCTCATTTTCCGGTAGATTTTTTAGGTTTTCCACAGAAAAAACCATGTGACAAATTTACTCATCGCTGAGTTCCAGCACTTTTGGCGATTATAAGCCAAATTTGGGTCGTTCGCATTCGCCGTGTACGTGAAAAATCACGTAATCCCTTAAGTATCCCACTTCAACGATTTCCACGTGCCGAACGTCAATGTCAAATGGAATTTTAACCAAATTAACGTGATTTTCATGTCGGCGTATACTACGGGAATTTCACGTAAAAAGTAAGTGATAAGCATGTACACGAAGCACGACCAATACGCTTCTCTGAGCCTTTCTGATGATCCTAAACTTCCCTGCAGATCTCCCAAGCTTCTCTGAAGTCTTTTCTGAGTTAATTGATCTGTGTGTGTGTGTCTGTATTCCCTCTAACCCCCACTGGCCGGCAGTTTTATTATGGAAGAACTCTCTCTACAATGTCGCATTTATGGTCATTGTAGACAGCTTTAGTCCGGGAGTTAGAAGTTGATAGCTCTATTGCAGATCCAGCAACCCATTTCAGAATGTCTGGAGAGTCACGCCCATTCCGAGGTTACTTTCACTCACAATAAGCCCCGCATGTATGCATCACCGTTATCAAATGGATATTGGTGATACATACACACTTCCAGGTTCGAAAATATTCTTTTCAACCCTGGCATGTATTTAGTGTAATTTTGATATTTTTTTTTAAATAAATGGAAAGCTCTCACCATATTCTGCTCTTCCGCCGTCGTTATTTGCTTCTTTTGGAATTCCTTGGACTTTTTCTCTAACGCTTCGTATTTCATTCCGTGCTTCACCGGCAATTTCCTTCCGTAGACCGTCCTTGGTTGGTTGGTTCTAATATGTTTCTGCCTTTTTTGGTCGGTTTGATGTCCACCATATGTTATTGAATTGCCATGGTGATCTGGGACGAGGCTCACGTCCAAAGTCACTGGTCCATCGAGCGCTCCGTTTGCGAAAGGAGAATGAAAGAAATACGAAAGGGATCAGTTTCAAGAAGTTACAGTTTCATCAGATTCCCCAACTAACCATACTCAAGCACAGTAAGAATATACAAGCTATATTGCGACTATATGGTTACTTGGGTACTCATATGGCCGTCAGAATGGTTCATCGGTTGCGAAGTGAAGTATTTCTGAAAGTGATGCGTAATATTTCTCAATGTTTTGAATTTATCCTAACGTTACCTCAATGTTATTTCACAGACAAGCAGACACAACACATTGAAAATTTATAAATGTAAACCCTACCGCCATCTGTCGTATATACTTTGATGGACAATACACTCAACAGATGGTTGTCGTGTGTAAACGTCAAACGCTAGGGAATTGATTATGTGCACCACAAATGGCAGTACTACCAACTAAGAAACATTTAAATTGACCGTTAAAAACGATTTTGATGAACGTTTTAAGAGTGTTATGTCTTCTTTTCTGTGATCATACCTTCACTATCGCAACTTCGGGTAATCTGCGAAAGTACTTGCATTTTTCTCAGGCACTTTTGATCTAACTGCAATTACTCTCTCATACTCGAAATGTGCCACGACCAAATTGACACAACGACGCCCTATACGCTCTCTGACCGAAGCGCAGGGCTTTTCTGAGTTAATTGATCTTATTTAAAATTCAGGAAGTTCCAAAATTTCATCAATTTAGGAACTTTTTAAATAAGCCAACGGCTGAAAGTCTCTTTAACATTTTACACGGTGGTTAAAAAACTTTACGCCGACTATGAAGCCTCGAATAAACGTGTAACGGTAAGTTTGCAATGCAGCCATTTCTTGATGATTTTCAAAAAATTTGGAACAACTAGAATTCTTAGGGTCTGTAATAAAAAAAAATATTTAGGATTGTGACGAAAACATGGACCCGGATGGCCATGGGACCGTTCTCTGGAAGATCCGGAATATCAGTAAAAATGGTCAATCCATGACACTGATCCTAAAACTCCGCGGTTTTTTCGAAAACACTTGGAACTGTGATATAAGAAAGAATTTGGGATCTTGATTTAAACATGGACACACATGGCCAAAGGACTGTCCTCCGGAAGATCCACAACATCCGTAAAAGTCGTTAATTCATGAAACTGATCCTACACTCTTAAAAATCTTCACGTCCGATTTATGTGAAATATCACGTACCTGATCTGTATTTAGAAAATCTCAAATCTTACGTGACGTTAGTAACTTTGACCTGAATTACACGGCATGTCTACTAAAAATGTTGGTGAAATTGACAGTTTATTCACGTAAACAGATTTAGTGTATTTGTGTTAGTGTGTTTGGGACTTCGATAGTTCCGGGAAACGAGATTTACGTGATTTTCAGGTACGGAAAAAAATCAATATGGCGTAACCGAGCGTGTTGGATGAACTCCGTAAAGATTCAAAATTCCTCAGTGCTTGCTGCAAATGTTGGACGGTAATTAGATTATTTTACATGAATTTATTTATGATTATATGTATCCTTTTTCTAGTTTTATAATTTCAGACGGTGACATCAGCATTTTGAGTCTGCAAAAAGGTGTTAATATTTTGTCAGAAATAAAAAAAAACTCATACACGTTTCTACCTTATAATAATCAATTAGTCAATATTTTACAATTTTAAGAGTAGATATAAGTATTAATTTAAACACGTGAAATTTAAATCTTCTCGATAAAATTGCATAATATTAACTGCTTCTAAATATCCTTCCCATTATTCTCATTAAAAAATCACGTACAAATTACATGAAAAGCATTTTAAACAAAACGGAATGTCACGTAAAATTCACCATATGTCCAGTAGTTTGCACCCCGATTTCACGTTAGAAGTACGTGAATATCAGGTCTTATTTACCTGACTAATCACGTAGATTATTGAAGCTGAATTTTTATCGACTACGTCCAATTCCGGTAAATGTTACGTGAAAAATAGGGTGGACGAAAACCACCTATGTTTTCACGTCAATCGGACGTGAAGATTTTTCAGAGTGTAGTGCTTCATAGTTTCATAAAACATACACTCCAAAAAATATGCACGTCCGATCTACGTGAAAACATAGGTAGCTATCGTCCATACTACTTTTCACGTAACATTTACGTTAATACCATGTAGCCAAAAATATTCCCATTTAGCGGTCAACGTGAACAGTAAGGTAAATATACCGTGATTTCCACTTAAGTTGGAAGTAGTTATTACGTAATGTTTACGTGATTTTGAAATGATATTTACTGGAAAATACTGTTCATCTTACGTTTACGTTCCGTGGTTTCCACTATAATTGGAATGGATTTGCACGTAATGTTGACGTGATTTGAAGTGATCTTTACCGGATCTAACAAATACTGTTTTCCATTTTGTCCAAAAAAAGAATATTTATACATTGTTAGTATTTTTTTATTAATACGTCAAGTATGTCATTGAAACGTTAATACTAACCATTTCGCTTTTCCAACACTTAATTGATCATGACAATTCATATCTCGATTCAGATGCAATATCCGTTTGCACTGTTTACTGCCGAGTCAGGCTAAATTGACCTTTGGAAAATGCCCATGAATTGTATCTTGTAATCCAACCCCTGAAATCGAAATTAACAGTGTATGACGGATTTCAAATAAAGCGAAATAATATAAAAATACCTTCAAATAGTTGCAGTATGCTGTTAAGGAATCACTTCTTCCACTAATAAAATATTGAATCACTTTTTCATACATGTAAATCACGTAAACTCATTTACGTAAGCACACCACAATCACACAACCGCACATAGAAGTTTGATGTGAAAATTTTGTCACATGAGCTACGTGATTTTTCACGTAGATTAGGCGTGTATATGTTGTAGAGTGTGCATGATTATCACTTACTTTTTACGTGAAATTCCCTTAGCATCA